ATAATTGAGACATATGCTTTAATTAGAGTGGCACAGGCACTGCGGGATAGCAGGCCTATCACAGCTTGTCTGCTCCAGAAACACAAAATCCAAGTTTCTGAAGAAACGGTCACAAACTTATGATTGCCTAAGTCAAGGACAGCATATTTTCTTCTAGACCAGAGGCAAAGGCAGAAGTTGTAACCTATAATTTGTCTTGTTTCCTTCCATCCTTGCTGCCTGTTTTGCATGATCTTACACACCCATTCTCTGCACCCAGATGTATATATGAGAAGGAATAACCCATCCACTGGAGAAATCTGATCCCAAATGTCATCACCATTTATCAGAAGCCCCCTAACTACCAGATAACTACCAGGTTTCACTGAGAAGGTTTGATCCAGCCTGAGCTTCTTAATGCAGCCTCCAAGGAATCAAAGGTGAAGCCATTTAAGGGCCCATCATTGCAGTCCTCTTTAGGATTACACATCTCCCTGTTTAATGTGCTGATACATATTTAATATGCTAATATACTCTAACAAAATTAATAATTTTAAAATCTGTGAATACTGTGTGACTATAGACTAACAAGCTATTAACATTACTATTTGAATTCAGCATTTTAAAGGGTATATTGTCAGTGTGTTAGTTTTACAGGGGGGAAAGCAGAAATATTTTCTGGGAAAAGCAGGAACAATAAACCTTTCATTAGAAGCCACTGAAAATTATGAACCTAATATTATTTTCATGATATATCAAATATTTCCACCAGAAATGGAACAAGGAGGAAGCATAATATGAGGGAGGTCATATCTCCATGCTCCTAACAGCAATGAAAGGTTCTTATTTATCTTAAGGTTCCAATAAGGGATTCATTCCCTTTATGAAGATACAGTTTTGAGGCAAACTTTGTGATTCACACCTCTGATTTGAACTCTCCAGCTGACTGCTTACCCAGTATTGGATACATCTAAATCCCGCAGGTTTTTAAGGAAAAAATTTCATGCTGTTGCCCCGTTGAATAAAGGAGTGCATTAACAGAACAAGGATTCTGACACAAATCTAGGCAGGACTATCAGAAGCAGCCATCAGACAGGTTGTTCGGCTCACTGCAAGGCGCAGCTAACAACATCAAGGTACTCAGCCATCACCCCAAGCCTGAAGCCTGGAGCACTGGAAGAGCAAAGCAGATGGCAGTCTTTTTCTGCCTTTTTTCAGAATACAGGAATGAGCAAGTTACAGATTAAAAATGGAGGCAGTGCTTTCTTCCTCTGATTGTGGATGGGTTTTTGAGGACAATGGGAGAGGAGCTTGGAACTTAGGTAAAAAAGGACCAAAATAAAACTAATACAGGCCTTACTCCTATAAATAAATTATTATTGTAATTTAATTATCTTTTGAGTATTTTTTTTATGTTAATATTAACCAGCCTTTTGGTCTGGTTATATTAGGGCTGTCCTGGTTGCACTGTAACTTGCACAGTATGGTATTACTACCACACTAAATAAAGTTAGACACAAATTTGGAGTTTACAAAATGCATGACTTGATAACAACAATATTAGGAAAATTTTTCCTAAGCAGGAACTTAAAAATGTCTCTGGCAGTGTAATATTTATATCGCCACATTTTGTCAGGCATACATAGTAACACCTAAGTACTCAATTCAAACAGAAGCATATTCCTTGCAGAAGATCCTACCCTCTATGCTTAATTCTTCTCCTTAAAGCTATTTCTTGATAATACAGTACACCTTTAGTGACAATCCATTGCTTAAGCCATGTGGCTCAGTGATTTTAAACTAGTTAAGGTGTGCAATAATCCTGTCTGTGCTCTGTTACATAGACCTTGGTTCTGTTAAGAAACTGAATTTATAGTAAGGCCCTGACCTCCAGTCAGAGCATGTTGCCTGTTCCACTGCAGTTACCCAGACAGATGCAGATTCTGTGGTGCAGTCACAGTTTGCGGTACTCTTTGAAGAACATTCCCTCATTGAGTTGAACCTTGAAGCCCCAACAGCAAAATTTACAATGTTTGAAACTCTTAAGAATGTTGCCCTTCGGTTACAGAAAATAGAGGTAAGCAGGGTGGAACAGCCAGGGCACTGGGAAAGGCTCACTGTTAGAAAATCTGTCTTTCAAAATTAAGATAACATTTACAAGTAACCAGTGTTACAGAGTAGTAGTTAATTCCCTACAAATCAAAATGAAAGTGTGAGAAGACAGGGCTTGTTTTTCAGACTCAGAGAAGGATTTGCATGCCAAGAAGTATGTCTCCTTCCTGGTTCTGCCTGCAAGCTTTCCTTTAATTACTCGCACTGGCTTATGAACAGACTGAATTTCACAATCATCTGTGATCTATTGCTCCAAAACCTACAACTTCTAGAACTGGAAAAGACTGAAGAAATTGCAGGCTCTGTTTCCACTTTCACGATGTTTTTCTGTATGATGCCTGGTGTAATTTTTGGAAAAGCATTAACAAAATATTTCTGTTATTGTAGCATTTGATAAAAAATACACTGCACTATAGGTCAAGATTACTTTTCAAAGGCAAGGCAAAGTTTGTGGATAAGTATATTATGGCATAATTCCTAATACTGTATTCAATGCAAGTGATCTTTTCTTTCCAAAGGAGTTCATTTATGCGGAGGCATTACATGTTTCTTGGAATCTGTATCTAAAACAATTGTATAGTGATTCTTTTACCTATTAACTTCTTGATAAGAACTGATAAAAGGTTTTAAAATGTTCATTCAGGATGATCAAGTGTGGAATGGAAACTCTTGTGTTTGGTAGTAACAGTAAAGCATTTACAGTACTCACATAATGAATTACCTAGTCACCAAATGGAGCGCTGGAGTTGAATACAGAATGATTTTGATGTGGTTGACAATATCTAAGAATAACAAGATACACAGTTAAAAAACCAGATGCCTGACTGGCTTCTTTATGGTCAGAGAAAAATGAGTGATTCAATGAATCTATCTTCTCCTAAAAGTTTGTGAGCAATTCATGTGAAATAGCCTCTCAATCAAAGTTTGCCAGAGTGACAAATTCCCCAAATTGCCAAAAGCTGGCTTATGAAATTCTGCTCCCCTCAGAGTTGTGTGGTTAGAAGCATGAGAAAGAATTCCACAGCTACAAATCTCAATACCTCAGAGCTGGGGAAGCTGAACACTTAAATTTTGGAAGTTTTTCTTCCTCAGAATGGGAAGGATAAGTGAAATCTTTGCTTCCTGTTCCCCAGGTTGTAGTTATCAAGCTCCAGCTGACCACTGGGAAAATTTCAGAGATCAGTTATTCCTCCTGCAATGTTAAGTGCAGGTGTTAGCCAAGAGAAATTTCTCTTGGATGTGCTGACATCATTTTAGCCTGTAGGACTTCTTACAGCATCACCTTCTCAAACAGCACTTTGATCCTCCCACAGTCAGAGTGGGTCAGTGACACAGCGTTTGTTGCAGCAGGCCTGCTTCCAAGTATGATCCATCAAGAGACACAAAACAGGGTGAGTCACATGAGCTATCTTGATATTGTCACAACCTTTATTAGCTTTACAGCTACCACAAAACACTGATCTTTAGAATGGGAAACATGATAGTTGATGAAGTCAAATCAGGGTTAAAAGCTAGTTATTACTGACACAGGGCCCATAATATCAGCTTTTTCATTCTTTGACAGCAGCTCTTGCCAATAACAGCACAAGGAAAAGACCTGTTTCTGAATGAATGTACATGATTTTACTTCCTTTCATGAGCTGAGAAGAGCTAAAGTGAAGATGCCTCTCTTGAACAAGGGTTTGGACCAAATGGACCTGTAGAAATCCCTTCCAATATAACATTTTTCTAAAGCTGTGTGACAGCAAATCTTTTTGTCCTGCATGTCTCCCCTGCTAACTCATGAAGCTACATGAAGTGACTGCATAGGCTGTGGGCATTGATCTGTAGAGCAGCTAGCTCAGAGACAAACACTAAGCTGTGAGGTGTTGTTTCAAGGTATTTTCACTTGCCTATGTCATCCACCATCCTTCATTTTTTGGTGACTGACACAGAAGGAGCCAATCTGGGAAAGCAGAGAAGCTATTGCACAAAGCTAAGTGCACAAGATACACATGTTGCACAACAGCTGTATTTCCCTCCCCTGTAAAACCTAAAATGTAGCTTTCAATTTGCTGGATAACTTTTTTCAGTCAAGAATGAAATATTAGGTTACAGGAGATGGGTCTATAAAAATACCAGTTCACTGCTCAGTCAAAAAAATGCAAATCAAATTCCAGAAATCATTTACTACAATCCTTTATTCACCATATTTTTTTAAAAGAGCTGGATTTCCTTTTTAGCAAAAAGATGCTTTGTGACTGCAAACGGGGTTTGCTCGTTTTTACGATCTTTCTGAAACCCCAATACCATTGACAAAGGAAAGGGTTGTAAATCATTCTATCAATGAAGCAGGTGGACCTGAGGGATCTTAGTCGTCTGCGCAAGGCACAGGAAGAAATATTATTACTCTGCTTCTGGTGGAGACTGCCCCATTAACATAGAGACTTCACTCCTATCACACTTGAGTTTATGGAAGCTAGAAAGCTGCATAAAACCTTGCCCTGATTAACCAGTGTTCTTTCTGTGAACCACTCTGTGGGTGTCCTTCTGCAGACCAAAGGAAGGGCACAGAGATCTTTTGCGACTTGTCAATGATACCCGCAAATCACTGCAAAGCATAAAATAGAACAAAGGTATTCCAGTGCCTCATCCTGTACCTTGTCACTTAAATGTGTTTCATCTCCAAGGACTGACTGCTTGGAGACCACATTTACACTTGCAAACTTTGGTCATATAGCAACAAATGTAGTGACCTGAATCTTGTATGCAGGTGATCGTCTATTTTTTTCAGAAATGTTTCAGAATGAGAGTTCAGCCTTTGCTTGTGTAACTGTAGATCCCCAAAGGTATGCTTTCTCTGTAGCTCCTGTTATGGGTAGGGAAAATTGTTATTATTGCTTCATATTGTCTCTCTTTCCTTGGAACAGGATAATGTGGATCTTGGTGACCTGATGTTTTCACTCTGCTACCTTCCAACAGCTGGTAGACTAACTATTACAATAATAAAGGCAAGAAATTTAAAGGCGATGGATATCACAGGAGCATCAGGTAGGAAAGAATTTAGTGCTTAATGTGGATTTCTGTCCCATTTTTCACCTGAGTCACAGAACTCAGCACTTTCAATTCCGAGAATGATTTTGAGAAGAAGGTTCTTATACTGCAAGGTCTTGAGTTACCTGTGTACAGGAGTTTCTGATAAGTAAATAACATATTTTAGTTTGTTCTGTTGTAACCAACAGTTTAAAATAATCTGCTCTTAAAAAGACAGCAAGATAATTATTTCTAAAGCCACTGTGATTCAGAATAGCACAAGTTGGGCAACCTGCATTCGTGACACTGGGAATTTGTTGTACAGCAGACTATTTGTTACGGCTACGGCACAGAGGCAGACTGACCCTCTCTGGCAGTCTCCAGGAGCCACTGAGCCAATTCTACTGTTGTTAGCATATGGACAAAACAGTGATCGTCCGTCTCCTTTCAGCAACGCTTTCAAAATTTGATGATGATAACAAGAAACTAATGTAAATATGAGTTCATAGATGACTTCTCGATACTAGCAGGGAGTTGTAGAGCTCCCAGAAAGGAGCTGCAAAGAAATAGCTTTTTTTACTATATTCAGGAGTTTAAAAATAATTGTCGTTCTCTTGAGAAATATAAACCACTAATTGTTACACTTTGAATTATATTTAACTATACATCAGTAAATCCCACTATGTAAAATATTGTCATCTTCTGTCTGTCCTACAAATCTGTACAAGTAATAAGGCTGTTATAAATAGGCTGATACACAGGCTGTTGTATAAAACAGTCATGTATAACACAGTTCAGTGGATATTTTAATACCCGTTGAGAAGTCGGTACACAACAAGGAGCTTCTTGATCCTAAATTCTTCATTATAAGCAGTGAACCAGGTAAAGGTTTCAAAGCTCCACTGCCTCCCAGGCATTCCCTGGTAATAGAGAAGCTCAAATTCCTGTCAGGTCCAGGTGACTCATTCTGCAAGCAGGTGTGGGCATACAAGAAGGCTGCTCCCTTCACTTTCCATTTATGTTTGCTTAAAAACAACAAAAGAAAACCAACGTTGTTCTTATGATTCACACAGATCCCTACGTGAAGGTTTCTTTAATGTGTGAAGGAAGGCGACTAAAGAAAAGAAAAACTTCCACCAAGAGGAATACCCTTAATCCTGTTTACAATGAAGCCATAGTGTTTGACGTCCCTCCAGAAAACATTGACCAAATTAACTTGTCGATAGCTGTTATGGATTATGACCGGTGAGATACCTGTAGCTGTAAAATAACATCATCTATTGGCTTATAAGATCTTGCACAGTAGATTTGCTTCCAGAACCAAAGTTATCATTTTTTTCCCAATAAATGGGAAATTAATATCACGTTGACTTTGGTAGAAGACTAAAATTTCTTGTATTGCCAGGCAGAATTTCCTTTCTAAATTTTAAAATACAGATTTGCATCCATTACTGACATAACTAAGCTGCAAATATGCTTACCAGAATGGAAATAACTGAACATATAATCAGACAGTCCACACACTGATGTTCTGTTTGTGCACAATTACGCTAAACCCTTAGACACACGCCTCCATTTCTAAAATTGTGGCCTAGAGTTTACTTGTATTTGCAACTAATTAAAGAACACAAGCAAAGAACTTTTCACATTCTTCATGCAAAAATAAGAAACAAATGCACAGACACACAGTATATGCAATAATGGGGAAAATACTAAATTATTCTGATTAGTGGGGAAAGCAAAGAGCAAACCTATGTATTTTATAGTTTGTTACATTTTTCAGGCAAGAATTAATTCGAAAAATCTGTGATTGATGTTTCTAATGATATATGTAAATGGTGTGATTCTAAAGGTAAAATTTTAAGAAAAAAAATATTATGGAACATTTTCACAGTGTAGGTCACAATGAGGTCATTGGAGTATGTCAAGTAGGCAACGATGCAGAAAGTCTAGGTCGCGACCACTGGAACGAAATGCTCTCATACCCTCGGAAACCCATTGCTCACTGGCATCCTCTTGCAGAGGTAAGACTTTTATTTCTTGCTTCCCTATTACTGTAATTGTGAAAACTCTTCCATATAGCATCAGAAGTCGGATAAAATTTTATGAACAAAACCAAGATCCACATGCATGCGCTAAACCCTAGAAAAGAGCTTGGAAACACCAATATTTGAAGTCAAACATAACAGACAAGTTACATCTGCTCCTTTCAAGTTTAGGGCAACAGAAAATAATTAATGGCTTTAATATATACATGAAAACACCAAACATTATACATTGGATTAAGGGTTTGGTTTTGTTTTTTAAGTAGCATCTTGGGTAACTTTCACTGATAATTAATATAAAGAAATGGACCTTGTTTACAGAACAACCAAGACATATTTTATATATATATATAACAACCTTATTTGACTTATTCTCTTGTAAGAGCATATCATCCATGCCACTAGCACATGTCAAGGGATGCCTAACTGCACTGAAAACAAAATGTTTAAGTGTCTCTGGAGATCTGAGGCGTTGATAAGAAGCCACACAATCAGAAAAGCTTTTCAAGGTTCCTATGTTTTTTTTGTTTTGTTTTGTTTTGTTTTTTGTCTTTAGGGCCCTATTCAGCAGAAATGTTATGCAGGTCTTCTGCGCTTGGATGGCTGCCGAAGAGGCAGTGGGGTAAAGATGTCCTTTTAATCCCTCTGTCTAATCCTCTCCCAAACACAGGGAATGCTAATCTTGATTCAAGAGACACAAAAATTCATCAAAGGTGTAACTAAATTGCTTCCTAAGAGTTACCATGACTTACTTTTATTGTTGCTGTCACTGGCTAAAGTCAGGCAGTAATCCCAGTCTAAAGAGACTACTATGTTTATAAACAGCCATAATGTTACCTCCAATGCTGAAAGACAGGAAAGACCACCGTAGAATATCTAGCCGCAAATAATGCCTTAAGCACCTAAAAGACAGAGGCAGACACTTTGCAGCCTCTCTGAGTATACTTTATGCATTAGAGTGCAGCCATGCTACTAGAATGCAGCTGAGGACTTTACCTACTTGGTTGTAAGCACTAACCCTAGGCAGTTCCGTAAACAATTGTCAGGCAACAAGAAGATGTCTCAAAATGGCAAAAATACAACAGTATTGCCCTGTGTCCATAAGCAGTTGCTTTTACTGGTGCATGGGGACCACAGCAACACAGTTTCAGCAGGGAGACCTCTGAGTGCTCACAGGCTCTGTTGCAGTGGGAACGCATCATGCCTTTTCAGAGCATGGGTGCTGCCAACGTGCAAGTACGCTGTGAGAGAAGATCGAGCAAAGTGAGGGAGCTCTGCCTCTATGTTTGTGCCCTCAATGACAAGCTAGCTGCTGGCTGAAGTGCCACACTTTAAATGCCTACCTGGGCATTTGGGAGCTGGGTTTAGAAAACACATCACCTGCTCTCATCTGTAGCCAAGCATTGATAAGGAACGGCTTGACAAAGCATGTGACGAGTAGTGTAATGGTTACTATTTGCCAGAATACAAGAAGTGTCTCTTAGCAGAAGTTGTCTGCATCCTTACATCCAACCTGTCTTCCCTCTTTGATAAATTTTATTACAGCCAGAGCCCACAATTAGGTTTTGACAGCTCTTCCCTTTTACAGGCATCCTGTTCTTTTCATACATGCCTGGCTAACTTCTTTAGATTTCATTACTGTGGATTGCTTTTCATGTCACTGAGCTAAACAGAGACATATTTTTTTCCTTCCCAGGAATCAAGTGGGGGAGGGTGTCCAGCGCATCCAGGCTGTGCAGAGAAATATATACACAGCATATCATTTTGGTTCCTGAATCAGGACTAGACTCAGCGAGAGCTTCTGGAACCTCTGTGGCCACAGCCATAGGACCCTGAATATTTGCTGAATAGGACCCTCAGTCTTCTACTGTGTGAAGAGCTATTGGTTTCAAGTAGCGTAATGTTATCCACTTGTAGCTGTAATTCTCCAGCTGACACTCTTGCTACTGATAGATTATTTGTATGGTTGTAAACATTACCCAAATTCAAGTCATAATTCCTGTTCATTAGAATAACCCAGGTTTTACAAGCAACATTATAGTAATGAAAAGCAACAAATACGGGAAGCAGCAGCGAATATGGTTCTTGTATTTGCAAAAAACGTGCAGTATTGTGAATGGATAGTTTTCTAAATAATTGTTTTTCAAGAATGATTGTCATCAGATTTATTTTTTGATGACAAGTTGTGTCCTCAGTCTCAGTTGGTGCCTCCTTTCACCTTACAGGAAAACAAATTAATAAGGTTCTTGTCAGAAATCCTTCAAATCTGAAAAACTGGAAAAAAGTTCTGTTGGGTGAGAACAAGATGCATATGGTATTTGTAATGACAGTATGTTCTTTTAGAAACAAGATAACCATCTGTATAACATGGAGGCTGTTAGTCCTCAACCTTTGTAGATGATTTTCCAGTCAATGTTTCTTCATTGTGTCCATGAGACTGCAAAGCATTGGAAGCATATCACAGGCGGCTATGCTCTGTCATACACGCAAGCACACACAGGTGCGTGCGTGTGCACACGCCCCACACCCCAATGTCATTTGGAAACACTGTTCCAAATACTTAGTGCCTGTGAAGTCTGTCTTTATTATTTGTAGTAGAAATAACAGGGCTATGTCACATAATGGTATATTGTAAATGCTGACAAATTCTGACCATTATAAAAATGATCAAAGCACAGAACTCTTTCACATGATGAAAGCTATGCCCCAGAACAAGAGCCCCTGTCGTAAATTTTGCCACTTATTTAGTCATGCATGGAGTTCTCTCTGCCTTCAGACTTTGCTAGAGAGAATTTGATTCAAGTTTTTACATGGGGAATTTTTTTTTTTTTTAAATACAAGTGCAAAGTACGGGTATTTTATACAATCTAGTTGCCTGCTACATACTTACAGATAGGGACCCATTGTCTTTATATACAGTTCGGATAAGTTTATGTGCACACACATTGCTTCATATTTTGTATGTGTGGAACGCTCACCAAGCATTCTGGGTTTGCAATTTTGCTGACACAAATACGCATGCACAGATTGAAGAAAATATTTGAAATTTTGATCCAAAATCTGAAAAATTAGTTTTATAACCTGTCAATTGAGGATCTTCCAGAAAATCAGAATTGCTAATGGGTGAAGCACAGCTTGGCACTTGCAGGAAATCTTGTATTTGTTGTAAATGTGTGCTGCAGCAGTCCTGTAAGTACCATGGTTTTCAAAAATCTCATGCCATGCTATGGAGAATACAGCTACCACATACAAGGACACCCCTGGCAAACTAAACACTGCTTCAAAACCTGCCCAAGTGGAATTTCAGATGGGCAACTGAGCATTTCCAGAAGAATGAAAAATACAAATATAAAGTTGCCCTGGCAAAACTATTTCACTACACTTACAACTGAAGCTTTGTATCAGCAGGGCAGTGATACAATACAATGTTCTACAGTTGTGCAGCAGACTCATTTTGTGTCCATGGAAGAGTGCAGAAGCCTTACTAAGACTTGTATCTAGAAACTCAAAGGGGCATCAACTGAAAAGTAATATCATTGCAATTGCCAGTGGATTATGGTTTTAATACCATCCTCAGTTTTTTTCATGCTCAAAGGTCTGGCATCAAGAAAATGATTTTGAACACAGTTCTATTAAAAAAAAAAAAACCTATGTCAGTGAGCATTTAAAGTGGAATCCAGCACACCTCAAAGGATGAGGAAGAAAACCTAATTTTTTATTAAATTCTCCTAGTTGTTACTGACTCATGACTTGCAAACTGTTACTCAGGCTGTGGCATTACTATGTGCTTTTTACAAATATCTGCTTTATCATAGCAGTGCGTATATGGAATGATAGTTATTTTCTATATTTGGATATTTCACTCGTCACCTTTATTCCACTAAACCAATGATGTGCCCTACACCTGGAATATTTTCATGATATTGTTCTGGTGGCCCAGTACACTGCTGCTGTCTTTGGACTGTAGTACAATAATACGACTAGCTGCAAGATGACCTGGAAATCCAGAGAAAACTATGATCCCCAATACTGTTCATTTTTTCTTTTCTGAACTATGATTCTCAGAGGTAAATTAGTAGAACGCTCACAAGAATAATTCCAAACCCACAACCCTCATTTGTTTTCTTATTTCCTATGAATGCATAATTAACAATGTATGACAAGTATTGTAATTCTGAAATACAAAAGGAAGTCCCTTAGAAATGCATCTCAGCAAGATTTTAATCCCATTTCACTCATTAACAATGTTCTATTAAACTGTTACATTTAGTTTTCCATAACAAACCACCATTTCAGATGCTTTTTTATAAAAAAGCAGTGTCAATGGGAGAGCCTTCCAAGCTACTGACACTGAGGCACAGTATAGTGGGCAGTTGTGTGATATTCCCATGTGAAAATACTCACAGCAGAATCCTCCCAGAGTAGAGTGCTGAAATATTTCTTTATCTTTTTCCACTGAAATCACAAGACATTAAAAGCATTCTGTTCTCTTTTGTTTCATGTTTCCCTGTAAATAATCCTGGCAGTGGACAAACACACATGCATATCAATCTGGGGAAGCATGGACTAGCAGAACAGAAAGCAAAATTATAGTATAAAAGACTCAGTGCTCAAACTGTTCCTACCAGTCAATGCATGCTTCAGCTTTCTGTGCTAACACAAAGGTTATTTTAGTCCACCCTTCTTGGCTTGAGGGGATAGTTGTTGGAGAGTTTTTTTGTTGGTTTTGTTCTTTTTTTGTTTGGTTGGTTTGGTTTGCTTTCATTTGTGTGTTTTTAAACACCAAATATCATATGTAGCTATTTTCACATGAGCACCCAAAGTCAGAGGCACAAGAGACATATTTACATGTTTATCACTTGGCAACATTAGAGCACTGAGGGGACCTATTTGCCATTGAAAAGAAATAGCTGCAAACTCTCTTTTAGTTTAAAAGAAACAAACAATAAATGAGAAGGGAAAAAAGAGGATTGGAAATTCTGTTGAAAAAATGTTTGACCCAGTTAGAAATCTATCTGAAATTACTTTACTGTTAATGCATTTTGTTTGAACAGAAAGAAGTGAAAAAACATAACTAGGTGACACAGTCTAAAGTGTCATCAATTAAATGCTTTTTTCCCTTTAGAACAGTGCATTGTCAAATGATAGCATCTCAGTATCAAGTGAGAAAACAATGTCTTTCTTATGTACAAGGAAAAAACATGTAGAGAAAGTAATCCACAATACTGCAGAATTTAATAGAAGCCCTCTGTGCTGGGAAAAATGGCAGCAGGACACACTTCGTAACAGCGTCGCCTTGAGTCTTGCTGTAATTAGTGCAAGGCCTTGCTTGCAACCATAATTCTGTTCTGAAGTGACAGCCTTACAATGAAGCAAGCTGTGCAGGGTGTAAATTGTCCTGTAAGGGCACTGCATATTCAGGGCGGAGTAGTTTTAAGAGCTGCGTTTACAGTTAATTTCCAATACAGTGGGTTGGGCAAGGAACTACAGGTGGAAGTTCTGCAGGGTCCTGCAGTTCTCTGAAAGGACCTCCATCTCCTTGAAGGTCCGTAGAGTGCACTAATCCAGATGGCAGTGACGGATACTGTTCAGGAAAGATATCATCAGGACATGCCTCAACTGCTGACGGAACACAGCACACATGGCACAGAGGGGAAGATGACATGAGGACTTGTAAGCATCTGGGCTGTTTGTTTGTTTGTTTGTTTGTTTGTTTGTTTTGTCTGGGTTTTTTAGTTCCTCCTTCTTTTGCTCAAATGTAGACATTGTAAAACTGGAATGTTTTACTCAGTTGCATGCTGGCCAGCTGTCATTTTTAATACCCATTGCAAGGGTGCGTGAAGAGAGGTGTGTTGTTTTGGTATACTTCTGTTTTTAATAACACATGAACATTGTACTATGCTTTATTATTTCTTGTTCAATAAATAGTCCTGGTATCTCTATGTTTCATGTCTAATTTTGGAGAGTAGAGCCATACCTGTATCAAGGCTCTCTCAATTAGGTGGGCATTTTGTTTGTTTCGTAGAAATAATGCATGATTACTTTCGCAGTGGATTTGAGGGACAAAAATTTCTTAATTTTATAATATGTATTACAATCTTCTAAACACAAGTAAAAATGTACTGTGATTTATTTATATAAATCTAGTCTGAACAAATAAGTTTTGATCTTAATAAAAACTCTGTAAGGAATTGTGCAATTGTAATTTATTACTATTTTGTATTTAGTACATTAAAGTTCAATTCATTATTCAGAAAGACAGCAAACACTTTGGAAATGTTTGAACTCATTTCTTCTCCATAGATGTTGTGTTTTGATAA